TCTATGGCTGATGGCCTTGCAAAGCAAGGGGTAAACAGGGAAAGTTTATATTGAACTCAATTGTAGATTGAATCTGCTTCCTGTTTTCTGTTATCTGTTTTCCTTTGTCTTTCTTCCTGCTATTAGGAGAGGACGCAGCTCGTGCCTCTCCATGGGAAGCTTGTAATTGCATTAATTCTCTATTAATGAATCTTTTCCCTTTACTCATCAAAAAAAAACAGATTGAACCATGATTTTTACCAAAAAAAAAATATTGAACCATGATATGGTGTGTTATTAGGGGGTTGATAAAATTTGACATGATATGATGACATGAAGGCAATCAGACAGATTCAACCATGGTTAAACCACTTTTGACAAAATTATCCTCCAAAACAGTTTGATGCCCAGTCTGGTATTTAAAACGTTACTACAACATGTAAAATCAAAAGGAACATGGATGTATACCGAGGAACATTTTTTCCTTCTTGTGAGGTGATTGGGTCCATGACTGTATCTGCTGGTGCATCCTGTGCAACTGGAGTAGAGGAGGCAGCACTCTGAACGGTGGATATTGGAACAGCTGGAATGGGAGGAAGAGCCTTTAACTTTGGTGCCCTTGATTTTTCCCTAGAGCCTTGCCCACTGGCACTAACACTCATATTCCGCCATTTGTCCTGGAGCAGGCAAAATAGAATTACCGATTCTTGTATAACATACACAACAAGATAACAAAAAACTAATTCAAACAGCAAGCAAACCAAATTATTATACACAAAGTGATAAACCAACTTGTAGTTCAAACAGCATCAAAAAGTGGAGGGGTGCATCTGGAGTGTTGTGTGGCTAACACATACCAGTGAGACTAAAAGGAAAATCTAATATATTTATAAGACCAGGTATGTTATATGGAACAAAATGCTAAACAATCAAGAAACAATGTGTCAAAAAGGTGAGTGGCTGAAATAAGGATGTAGAGATGAATGAGTAGCAAGAGCAGAGAAGACAAATAGAAACAAATGCATCCAAGAAGACTTAGGAGTAGCTCCAATGACAAACAAAATGAGGGAAGTTGAGTGAGATGGTTTAGCCATGCGCATAGACAAAAGTGACTGCACTAGTAATAAGAGTGACTTGGTGCAACTAGAAGGCTCTAAAAGAGCAAGGGGGCACTGAAGAAAACATGGTTTTTTATAGAGCATAATGGAGTGCAGGATTCATATGCCTGACCTCAAATAGCTACATTAAGGTTTAGTTTCGCTAAGTTGCTACTACCTACCTTTAAGATACGTCGGAGGACCTTGAGTACCCAAAATGCCATGTGGTTAATTGAATGGAAAGGGTAAAAGTACAAAGATGAGGTAGAGTTGCATGATATACTGCAATCTTAGATTAAGTGCTCCTAAATGGGCTTAAGCTTCTATATAACATAGTTGATGCTGTTAACATTTGTATCTTATCTCTTCTTGTATTTATCTTATGTATCAATCTTGTTATCAATTCACTGTTCTTCTAATCTATATTTTATAAGAATCAACTTCCAAGTTTTTACCTTTATTTTATATTTATATAACTATATTATATTATTACATTTTAAGCAAAACAAAGGGATCATTTTGCTTGATGCAATGGTAAAATCTTGGGCTGACAAGTTTGAGATAACAGGTTCTGAGAAAGTGAGAATAGCCACTGTGCAAAAAATGTCTAAGGTTGGGTCCATGTCCAGTCCACCCCTCCCAAAACCCCAGATAGTCAGGACAACATTGGGTAATTGCCACTTATATTTATTTCAAATATATAAAAATAAATTGTAAATTGAATACAAGTAAAATGAATACAAAAATCAATTTAACATAACATTTAAAAAACTATAACAAAAACAACTAAATTACTATATATAGTATATAATAAATAATATTATATAAGCACCCTCTTCAAGGGGGAAGTGATTTATCTTTAATGGTTTGCAGCAATAAAAAAGGGTTGATTCTAAAACCCATAAAATCATTATTTGTTTGAAAATTGAAACCATGATTTTGTTTCAACATTTCCAAGTTGCCAATATAAAATTTCTTAAGTTGCAATCAATTACATTGCTAATTTAGGGAGTATAAACAAAGTGAAACTTTCCATACAGACAAAACACAGTGTAGTAGCATTTACTTTTTTTT